TGCCCTTAGCACTACCGGCAGGAGGAGGGAGGGCTGAGGCGGGAACCAGGCCGAGGGAGGCAGCGGGCACTGACTAAGTGCTGCCGGTGACGGTGTCTCCAGGCTTCCTCCCAGCTCAGGAGCAGCAAGCCCCCGGCCTGCAGACAGCGTCGCTGACGGGAGCTTTTCTTAGGTGAGAGGCTCGTTCTGAAGGACCAGCCATTCAGAGCTTGGCCACACTGAAACCTTTTATAACTTTATTTTTCAATCCTGGACTTTTATTGATTTGTGTATTCTTGTGTGAGGCCCTGAGTGGGAGAAAGGGCGGCCAAAGTGGCCTTTGAGTCAGAGGGGCACCCACACACCAGCAGACAGAGGAGGACGGCTGGGCCTGGGCCAGGAGACCCCCTGAAGCCTGGAAGGCAGGGCCGCACAGAGCTCACCGGGAAATCTGGAGGCCGGAGAGCTCCCAAGAGCACAGGGAGAGGCCCATTCCACACAAGAGGGGAGGCCCGAGGGGGGACGAGCATCAGCCTGCAGCTGAGGAGAGCCACTGACAGGCGGGTGGATGACACAGTAGCCGGTTAAAGAGCAAGACGGGGGAGGGGAGGGAGGCGAGGTATGGACTGTGTAACCACTATGTTCAGAGAGACTGCACATGCTTCGGGGGACAAGACGGGCCATGTGCTGGCTTCCTGTGAGAGAGGACGGGCCATGTGCTCGCTCCCCGGGGACAGGCCGGGCCGTGTGCTCGCTCCCCGGGGTCGGGCCGGGACAGGTCGTGTGCTCACTCCCCGGGAGAGGACGGGCCGTGTGCTCGCTCCCGGGGACAGGCCGGGCCGTGTGCTCGCTCCCCGGGGACAGGCCGGCCGTGTGCTCGCTCCCGGGGACAGGCCGGGCCGTGTGCTCGCTCCCCGGGGACAGGACGGGCCGTGTGCTCGCTCCCGGGGACAGGCCGGGCCGTGTGCTCGCTCCCCGGGGACAGGACGGGCCGTGTGCTCACTCCCCGGGGACAGGCCGGCCGTGTGCTCGCTCCCGGGGACAGGCCGGGCCGTGTGCTCGCTCCCCGGGGACAGGCCGGGCCGTGTGCTCGCTCCCCGGGAGAGGACGGGCCGTGTGCTCGCTCCCCGGGAGAGGACGGGCCGTGTGCTCGCTCCCAGGAGAGGACGGGCCGTGTGCTCGCTCCCCGGGGACAGGCCGGCCGTGTGCTCGCCCCCGGGGACAGGCCGGGCCGTGTGCTCGCTCCCCGGGGACAGGCCGGGCCGTGTGCTCGCTCCCCGGGAGAGGACGGGCCGTGTGCTCGCTCCCCGGGAGAGGACGGGCCGTGTGCTCGCTCCCAGGAGAGGACGGGCCGTGTGCTCGCTCCCGGGGACAGGCCGGCCGTGTGCTCGCTCCCCGGGAGAGGACGGGCCGTGTGCTCGCTCCCCGGGAGAGGACGGGCCGTGTGCTCGCTCCCAGGAGAGGACGGGCCGTGTGCTCGCTCCCCGGGGACAGGCCGGCCGTGTGCTCGCTCCCGGGGACAGGCCGGGCCGTGTGCTCGCTCCCCGGGGACAGGCCGGCCGTGTGCTCGCTCCCCGGGGACAGGCCGGCCGTGTGCTCGCTCCCGGGGACAGGCCGGGCCGTGTGCTCGCTCCCCGGGGACAGGCCGGCCGTGTGCTCGCTCCCGGGGACAGGACGGGCCGTGTGCTCGCTCCTGGGGACAGGACGGGCCGTGTGCTCGCTCCCAGGAGAGGACAGGCCATGTGCTTGCTTTCAGGCAGCTCAAGGGGCAGCAAGAGTGAGGTGGATGTGAAGAAGCAGAGCTGTGTTCGGAGGGATTGCCCTGGCCACTCAGCAAAAGCCTGTTGGGCGTGGCCCCGCCTGTCCCGTGCTCATGAAGCAAGAGAGACTGTCCACACCCGGCAGAGATGGTCTTGTCCCTCCAAATGCTTAAAGAGGGTGAAGCCGGTGGAGGAGACTAGATTAGTGTTGTCACTTAGGAGAAGGTTTTCAAGTGTACCCTGTGCCAGGCAGGTCTGAGCGCAGGGCTCACGCAGTTTTACAGGCCCTCCCATCTGGCTGCTGACGGTAAGAACCTACAGAGGGACCCAAAGAGGGCGTTTTGGTGTAGAAGGAAGAGAGCAAGGAAAGAAAGGAAGAACGAGAGGCCGGCTGCCACGGGGAGTCCGCAGGAAGTGCCATGGCGAGGACAGCAGAGGCTGAGCTTTCGGGAGAATCGGCTCACTCGAAGAGAAAATGAGGAGAGCGGACCGGAGATGAGAGCTCACTTAGTCTCAGAATTAGAGTTGGAAATGTGAAATTTGAAACAGTGGTAGATAAATGAATTGAAGTGGAAATATGGAAAAATAGTAATGCAGGAAGGAAAGCACGGATTTCTATTTTAAATATAATTTCACAGTTGATATTACATTTGTCTTCTCTCTGAACTTGGTTCTATAGTAGATGTGTGTGTGTATGTGTGTGCGCGCTCAGTGTGCACATGTGGCCCTGCTCAAGCTGTGGACGAAGCCCCTCGACCCCCAGCTCTACCTCCTGAGCCCCCTACGTCTCCTCTGCCTGGTCCTCCCTCAGGGAGGTGGCGGGTGTCCAGCAGCCCCGCCTGTATCCCACCCACACCCGGGTGCCAGTGCCTTGTCCCCTGGGATGGGCCCTTTCCAGAAATGGACCTATCAGTCGTGGGCAGATCCAAGCACAGAGGCTCCTCTAGCCAGCAGGCCCTGAGGAAGCATGAGGCCGGCATTCTCTGCACACGGGGTGGCCAGGGCAGGGCCAGCAGAGTGTCCGCCCTGCGGGTCTCCTTTGCTGTCCCCACCGGCTTCAGGCAGCCACCAGCCCTTTGCAGGCATATCCGTGGAAATCAGTCACTGGATTGAGTCCTAGCATTCGCAGGTTCAAGGACGGCGTTACAACAGGTCGCCGCCTTCCTCAACAGGGCCTTTGGTCAGTGTGGGAGGAGCCTGGGGGCCCAGGGCAGGAGGAGCCTGTGTGGGAGGAGCCTGGGGGCTGGGCAGGAGCCTCAGGGTAAGGAGCTGGGGAGCCGGCCCTGCCGCAGTTCCTGTCACACGTCTGGCTCAGCTCACCTGTGTCTTTAAGACATTCTCGGGCCCTCAGGATCCTCAGGAGCTGGAACTCGCCTTCAATCCATTCCAGTCAAGGCTGCATCTGCTCCCTGCTGCCCGCCCCCCTTCACCTCTGCCTCCGCTGGATGCTGCAGGCCCCTCGGCCTCCCCAGGGAGCTTGCCAGCCCTCTCAGCCTGCGGGTCTGGACCTTCCGGGTGGACCCCACCATCTAGACCTCCCTCACCTCTAACAAGTAACAATGTGTGCCCGTTTCTCTAAAGCACATTTGTGGCGGACCATAGCACCGCCTCTTGGCCTCTGCGGCCTCGCGGGCGAAGCTCCCACCGCTGAACCCCTGGGTGAGGAAGCCGTGGGGGCCAAGCTGACCTCCCTCCGCGGGGTCTTCCCCAGTGTCTGCCTGCACCACCTCACCGCACACACACTCCCACCGCGCAGTCTCCATGTGGGACGAGGCTCAGGCTGGGCCTGTGGCTTCGTGGGGTGAGCAGGCCGTGGAGGGCCCCTGCTCCAAAGCCCTCCCCAGCCGACAGCCCTTCTGCCCTAGGTTTGCTGCTCACATCGGCTCAGATCTCCTTCCTCCCCACGTCTGGCACCTGGAACACCTGTCCCACCCCCCACTTCCCCCTCCCCCTCCCCCTCTCCCTCCAGCGGACCCTGCTTTGAAGGCCTCAGTGGCCGCCTGCCTTCTGTGTGTGTCTCCTGACAGGGCTGTGGGGAAACATGGCATCCTTTGAACATTTACTTAAGGTTGATAAATAAAATAGCTCTTAAGTTTAGTTATTTTTGTTAATATGAGATAGAAAAAATAAACAGAAGGTAGAAGACAGGACTAATTATTAGGAATAAATGTTTGATGACATGATTTGCTAAAATGGATTTTAATCAAACCCATTGAATAAGGCAGAGCAAATGTGAAAGTGATTGTGGGAACTGTACATCCAGGGCAGCTGGAAAATGTTTTCATAATTCAGGAAAATTCCAGTGATGCTTTTAAAAATTACATGAGTCACAATCTCAGGCCATTTTAGAAAACAACTTGAGGATCTGGACATGGATCTCCGTAAAGCTCCCAGCATGCGTGTACTCCAGACTGTGTGCAGGGCGGTGCCCAGCGAGAGCGGGAGCCTGCAGAGAGGGGACTCTGCGCTGGGGGTGCGGGTCACACCTCGGCCGGGCCCCCTGCACACGCTCCAGCTCACACCAGCGTGACCTCCTGCTTTGTACCAGGCATGTCACACACACGCCCTTCCCCCAGCCATGCTGCTGCTCGGGGGTCAGGGTCAGGGTCACAGCCCTTCCCCCAGCCCTGCTGCTGCTCTGGGGTCAGGGTCAGGGTCACAGCCCTTCCCCAGCCCTGCTGCTGCTCTGGGGTCAGGGCCAGGCCCGGGCTGGCCCGCGCTGGCTGAGCGCTGTGCTGCGGGGAGCCCTGTCTGCAGAGCCCAGAGCTGCTTCCACGGTGACGTGGTCCTGGTGGGGCTCCTCCGGGGGAGGCTCTGGCTGCAGGTTGGCCTAGGCACGGCAGGTGAAGTCCTTCCCGGAGGCGGCCAGGGAGGGAGGGGCTGGTTGGTACCCTAGGAGATGAGCGGGGTCCTCTGGGGGATGCCTGTGGCTTTTGTAGGTAACCCCATTGAGAGCTCACGTACCGTACGAGTCACCTGTGGAAAGTGCACAGCGCAGAGGCTTTTAGCATCTTCCCCCCATTTCCATAGTCCACGATGCCCCACAGACTTTTAACCAAGCGCCAAGAAGAGCTCCGGAGACAAGTAACCGCCACCAGAGGACCCGGTCCGGGGCCAGCCCTCCATGCTCCTCTGCTTTCCCGACTGTGCTCGGCCTCCCAGCCGCCGGGCCCCTGCCGGGCAGGGAGCAGGACAGGCCCCGCCGGGCGGCAGCCCAGGCGGACACTGACCGCCGCTCACGCGTGTGCCTTCTCTCCCCAGGTGTTCCACTGCGTCCACTTCGAGTGTCCGGAGCAGCAGAGCAGCCTGAAGGAGGAAAGCAGCGAGGAGCCGGGGACAGGGGACCCCCGTCCCGCCGGTCAGCCACCCGAGCCCCGCGCGCTGCAGGCCCCCGGCGGCGGCTCCCTGCCCGCCAGCCCCGGCCCGCGCTCCGGCCGGCAGCACCAGTGAGGGGCTCTGCCCCTGCCCGCCCTGCCCGCGGGCAGCAGACCTGGCTCAGGCGGACACGGAGCAGGTTTGCAACCAAGGACAGGAAGGGCCGCTGTGTTCTCATTCGTTCCGGTCGGGCTGGTCTCCAGTCTCCATCCGTCCAGTTCACACCCTACCTCTCCAGTCCACCCAGGCCGGCGCCCGTGTGGGTGGGCCGGGCACACAGGCCCTCGGACCTGGGGGCGCCCTGTGAGAAATGGTTTCCTTCGTGTCTGCTCATGAACACGTCACTCTGGCAACTGACTGGCTTTTTGTTTCTTTCAGTGACTCCCTGTTTGCTGGACAGAGGTGTCCTTGTTTCTTTTAGTGACTCCCTGTTTGCTGGATCAGGGGTGTCCTGGTCTTTCTGAAATGCCCCAACAGCACTTGTTTTAAGCCCTTTGACACCGATCGTCCTTCCTTAGTTGTGAACGGTTAAGCGTGGGGTGGAGCGAGGAGCATGTGCGTCTCCAGGGCGACAGGGACACTCCTCCAAGAAAGTTCACAAAACTCAGGCACCGAGCGGCGGGCCCTCACTCGGCTGCCAGGTCTCGGACCTGTCCTTCCATGGTGAGTCTGCCTTGGGAGGTGGCAGGAGCACCCACTGTGCGCCGCTGATGACATGCTGATGCCTGTGGAACCTGCACACCTCCCGCTGGGCTGCGCCTGTGGGGAGGGCAGGGCAGGCAGGAACGCAGGCCTGGCTTGGCGCAGCCCTGGTCATCCTCTGTCCTCCAGTTCTGAGACGCTTCCCTCCTCCTCCTCCTCCTCCTCCTCCTCCTGTTCCTCCTCCTCCTCCTCCTCCTCCTCCTGTTCCTCCTCCTCCTCCTCCTCGCTGCACCATGTCTCGCAGCCTGCTCGGCCAGCGCTGTTGTGTCTCCATTTGGGTCCCCTTGTACCTCCATCGATTCTTGTCGCTGTTTCCTCCCTGTGGTCTCCCTTGGCTGGCCGCTCCGGGAAGCTCCCGCACCCGCAGAGGCGGGCGCACCCTGTGACCTTGGGGGTGCTTGCAGGGGTCCTCTCTCTGGCGCCTTTAGGACACCGTGGTTTGGGGGTACAAAGAGCAGGGCGGCTCACTGCTTTCTCCTGCAGCCAAGTCCCGAGTGACTGAGGGCAGTGGGGTAGCGTCGGATGAAGGACGGGGGGAGCAGGCCAGGGGAGTGGGGCTCCCAGTCTCTGCCCCTCGCGTTCCCCCCGTGTGGGACGGCACGGTGCTGCTGTCCGCCCCACCCAGGCCCGTGAGCGTGGTTCCCGCCCACCACCGGCACCCTCACTGGGCGGCGGAGGCAGCAGGGAGTGCGGGCGCCTTCGGAGGCTCGCCGTCCACGGCCTCGGGAACTGGCGTCGCCTGTCCAGAGGGGAAGCCCACAGCGTGGACCCGGGGACATGGGTGGCCGCAGGGCCTGTCGCCCCGCTGCCCACAGCACACCCGCGGCCAGGCCAGGGCTGCGTGCCGCCTGCTGCTCAGCTCCCCCCGAAGGGCACAGGCTGTCAGAGCATCGGACCCAGCGGGCCTTCCCGCCAGACTGCCCTCCCTGCTGCCTCCCGGAGGCCCCCTGGAGTGCACCTTCCACACCTGCCCTAGGTGTCTGGAGAGAGTGGTCTCTGTACCCCCCCACCCTACCCTCCTGCCCCCCCCACCTCTGGCACTTCAGCGCTCCTCCTATCGGATGAAGGGAAGGAAGGGGAAACCGAGGCAGTCTGCTGACATGGCAGGGAGGCCTCCCGGGCACGGGCACCGCTCTGCGCCCGGAGCTCAGCAGGTCCCGTGCAGCTGTCCCCTGGGGCCGGGCAGGGGCTCCGCCCTCCCGATGGCCTCCTGCCGGGGAGGGGCTGCAGGGGCTGGAGACCCCCAGCCTTTCAGCGCAGACACGCCCCCCGAGGCCTGCACCTCCAGGGAGACGACTGCGCGGCCGCCGTTCTCCGGGGCGGCTGGGCCTGCGGCCGACTCCCCCCGCGGCCCGGCCAGGAGACCAGGGGCCTCCGGGGTGCAGGTGCAGGCTGGGCGGCACTCAGCGGGGAGGGTTCCCAGACACCCGGTTTGAGGAAGGACCTGGGCCGGGCCAGGGCAGGGCAGGGCTGGTGTGAGGACACGGCCTGGGTGGTGACCAGGCTGAGGCAAGACCCGGTGAGGCTGGACCCGCAGCGGAGGTGGACAGGGGCGTTTGTGATCTCTGGCCCGTCACTGTGACCCTTGTCAATCACAAACTAAATCAACAGCTTTGTAGCCACCTCCTACCCCCACTCCCCCACCCCGGGTCAGGCAAGGGCACCTGGAAGTGAGAGGGCTGAGGGAGGAGCCTTCAGGCACCTGACAGCTGCCAGCCTCCTGTGGAGGAGGGAGGAGGGGTCCCAGCCTCCTGTGGAGGAGGGAGGAGGGGTCCCAGCCTCCTGTGGAGGAGGGAGGAGGGGTCCCAGCCTCCAGTGGAGGAGGGAGGAGGGAGGAGGGGTCCCAGCCTCCAGTGGAGGAGGGAGGAGGGAGGAGGGGTCCCAGCCTCCAGTGGAGGGAGGAGGGGTCCCAGCCTCCAGTGGAGGGAGGAGGGGTCCCAGCCTCCAGTGGAGGGAGGAGGGGTCCCAGCCTCCAGTGGAGGAGGGAGGAGGGGTCCCAGCCTCCAGTGGAGGAGGGAGGAGGGGTCCCAGCCTCCTGTGGAGGAGGGAGGACGGTTCGGGCCCCTCTGCCAGGGCCGGGGGCGGGGGGACACCTCATCAAGGTGCTACTCAAACTGCCGCCGTGAAGCAGGTGTAGGTGTAACACAGCCATCCACACACACAACACAGTTTTCGTGTCTCAGTGCTTTTTCTGTTCTGTTTCTGACATTAGAACCATGAGCCCACGATGGATGTGGGACTCTTCTCAATCGCTCTTTCAATTGTCACTTTAAAAATCTTATTTAATGACAAATACATTAAAAGTGTTTTATTCCTAGAAGAGCTGGGAAATACATTATTTCAGCAACAGTGGGGTGTTTGTTAGACTGATTCCTTGGCAAGAAAAAAAAAATGAGTTTTGAATTGTGCAAAAAATTGCCCAGTAGTTACGCTGTCGCCCCAATTGCTAAACTGCTGTGTGGACGGCTGCTGCCCAGGCAGCTTCACCTTTATTTAATTTAGAAGATAACAGAATGGTCATCACTTATCCCTCCGGAGACCGGGGAGGAAAGGGCCGCGCGATAAAAAGCAGCGCCTCGGCCCGGCCACTCGCAGTAGCGGGCGTGTCCCCGTCGCTGAGGGAACAGCCTTTGGACCGGAGAGGAAGGAGTCGGGGGGGGGGGGAGGGCATTAAATTGTCTCCTTCCAGGAGCTTTTCCTCATTGGTGTTCGCTTTCCGGGGTTCCCCATACCTGCCTTCCTGTGGGTGGCAGGTCCCTGATGCTGCCCTGGTGGCCGGGGCCCAGCAGCTGCCGTGGCCGGGGCCGCAGCCCTGAACGTGCGAGCCGGCCCGGCCACGGCTCCGGCTGCAGCCTGAGCTCGCTCGAGGCCCCGGGAACTGAGATGTGTGGTCTGTGCCGCCTGGGCTTTGTGACTGTTACATCCGAAGGCCTCAGGCGCTGGAGTGAGGGTTCTGGGACGCGGAGGGGCAGTTGAGAGAGAATGCAGGCACCTCCCGGAAGGTGCCCTCACACCTGGCTGCAGGTGAGGATCCGGAGCCTGGAGGTGAGCAGAGGAATGGGGAAGCTGGCGAGAAGGGGCTGGCAGGGGAGAGCAGCCTCCTGAGCCGGCAGCACTGCAGGGCTGTGGAGGAGAGGACGGGCTCTGGTTTCCGTCTGGTTTTCTCTGGCTGGAGGGGCCGTGCACTGCCCTGGGCCTGGGACCACCTCCGCCAACGGGTGACTGAGTCCCCCCCCCCCAAGCACCTGCCTCCCCTGGGGGTGGGGTGGGAGCAGGCACATGGGGGCCAGGTGAGCCCCTGCGTCCTGGTTGGAATAGAACCGGGTTTTTAAATGACTCACTGATTATTAAGGTAATCTCAGGGAATAATGTTCTAACCTGGCAGAAGGGGCAAGGGTGCCGCCCCCTGGCTCGCTCCAGTCCTGCCCTGGGCCTGCACCTCCTCTGTGCCTCACCGAGCTGGACTGAGGGGCCCACCTCAGCCTCGCCCCTTTGTTAAGAACTGACGTTCTCCCCAGGGGCCTCCCCTAAGACCCAGTCACCCCCCTGCAATTTGTGGTAAAAGTCCCTGCACTTGCCATGTGCATCCCGTTTACAGCCCTGAGCGGGAGGTGAGGCCTGCACCTGCCTCCGCGGGCCCGGGCTCCTGCCCACCAGGGGGCGGCCCTGAGGGGGTGGGCGGCACAGAGCAGACATGTCGCCCTGGAAGGGGAGGGGAGGGGGGGACGGCAGGTGAGAGAGGCCTCTGGGTGGGCCCGGCCCTGGGAACCTGGTGGCATTGACTGACAGCCCGTCCCTCTGCCTCCAAGTAGCCTCTTCCTGCCACGTGAGCCCCAGGGTCGGCGTCGGGGTGAGGTCACCATGTCCGGCCCTGGGGGCGTGTGGGAGGGGTTGGGGCGGCAGGGGGCAGCTTGTAGCTCTGGTTCCGGGTTTACTGCTTGTGCTGCACCTGACAGGGAGGAGGGGAAGCTGCACCCTCACAGCAATGGGGAGTCCCTGCGCTGGTCAGCAGCCCCGTCAGTGGGACGGGGGTGACGGTGGTGGCAGAGCGCTGACCAGGGCCTGCCTCTCCGGCAAAGGTCCCCAGGGCACCGGCCCTCCAGCGCCTGCCAAAGTCAGGGGAGAGGCCTGGAGGGTGTGGGAGTGACAGGAGCACCTCAGGGTGACGGGCCTTGGCTGTGAACGATTCTGGTCACACGGTGCCTTTGGGGTCGGTGCGGGCCTCAGAGGTGGGGTTCCTCTATCAGCGCCCACAGAAGCTGGGGACCTGGTAAGGTGCCACGTGGGTGCATGCGCCCGGCCGTGGGGGCGGGGGGGGGGGGCGGTGGAGGGAGGGCTGCGGTCCGGTTCCCACAAAGCGCCCGGCCTTCGGGACCCTAGAGCAGCGGAGCTGGGCCGGGGTGGGGAAGACCTGGGTCACCTCCCGGTGCCTCTGGAGCCGGGAGGGATCACGCAGGGGAGAGACGGGCCCAGGCTGAGCCCTGGTGCCCGGTGGAGCCCGGAGATGAGACCGCGAGGGCTGAGGGACGGGCACCTGGTGGTGAGTCAAGGAGGCGCTCAGTGCCGGAGCGTTCGATTCTGGGGGCATCCGTTTCCTGGAATTGACCGCCTGTGGGACAGTCGCTGAGGCTGGCTGTGAGCTCACGTGGGTGCCT